TCAAAATATTTGTTGAACCACAGTGAAATGTATTGCAGACTGTGCAACTCGTGTCTGCTGATAGCGCAAGCAGTGGGTGGTCATAGCTGGACAAATGATGGGAAAGCTTGCCAGACAGCACTCTCAATGACAAGCTATGCGGCTTTAAAGCTGGTTAGACACCCTGGAGTCCCCAAGCCTTGGCTCTTGCTAACCTACGCCTAATACTTTCCGGAATTAGGCAAGCAGGATGCTTCCCTCCAGGGAGAGAGAGTGCATTCTATTCCGACAATCTGTCTCTAGATATTTCCATGTGTAGGCGGGATACGTGCAAATCTCAGTTTGGTTTGGAAACTATGGTGATAGGTTTCCACAAGTGTCAGACACCCGTCTGATCAAAAAAAAAATCAGTGACACGGGAACCAGGTGTCTTTCTGTGCTTTACCTGTGGCCATTCTTCATGTGTGGGCCCTGAAGGTGGGTGTCAGGGGTCAATTGGACTGTGTGTGGCATCAGAGCTAAGCCCTTCTGTGATCACTCGATCAGTAGCAGGAATCCAGCTTCCTTTACGGTAGTCAGAAAGATTTAATAAAGATTATTACTCAACTAATCTGCTTTAGAAAACCACTGTGAAAGGCCAAACAATGCTCCATTTCCCAGTCTCAAACTTGGGACACTCCAATTAAGTGCCTGAGCGATGCTCGCATTTCTGAAAATATACCTTTAGGAGAGGAAGGGCTGAAACTCCCGAGAGATTGTGAGGAGGACAGTGAGAAAGAATCGTGTCCGATAGTGTCTGACTGCGCACTGGTCCTACACTGCCCCTGGGTGGATACATTTATAAATTGCATCGGAATGTGTTTTGTGTTTCAATGCGAGTCATTTGACTCCCGATCAACTATCCAACCAGCAGCTCTTAGATAGTATAGCGGCTAATCTTTGAAGCAAAAATGGTGGTTAGAATGTGGAGGGAAGGGGAACGTCTATCTTCGAGGTTAGCTTTCGAGCCCACGTTTCCTGTGCTTACATATTTACATTTTGTTGTACAATTTCTATTGAAACCAAGTCAGTCCACTGTGGAAGTCTCGATAGCCTGTTTCGTCAGCCACGGGGTTTGCAGTTGCAATTGTACCATTCTAGGGTACCAGGACTTGGAGCAGGAGACCAGTCACTGGAGCGGAGACTCTGTTCCCGATGACCCTGAAAGCCAAAGTCCTAGCTGGAAAGACACCAGGAAGCTTGCCAGATGCTTTGCAATGACGAGCTGCATGGTTTTAGCAGGTTAAACTCCAGGAGCCCCACACATACTCTGGGGCTTCCAAACCTTGGCTTTTGTGACTAAACTCTCCAGAATTTGGTGAAGAGGGTGCATTTCTCCTGTGAGAGAGTGTAGCTTTGTTTCCAACGAGCAGAATCCTTAGCATATGTAGAGTTCTCAGTGTTAGGCTCATTCGTACACCCACTGGTGTACCATTCCATGGGTTCCAGGTATCCTCTGATACCCTGCTTAAGTGGCCATTCTTCACGCGTGAGCCTTTGACAGTGAGTGCCCCTCCCTTCAGCCGAGGAGTCCCTGAGAACTCATGCACAGTTCCCCAACTGCTCCCAGTATGAAATCAGCACAGTTCAGTGTTCTCATCTACTCTGTCACAGTCTGTCCCACTCAGTGGTACAGGGCCAAACAACTTCTGATTTTTAATCCACTTGGTCTTCCCCACCCTATTCCCCTGTTGCTTTTTTGCCATTTTATTTTTGCCATTTCAATCTCAACATGTTGCTGCTTTTCTGTCTGTCTGTCTGTCATTATTTCCTTCTTTCTATCGTCTTTCTGTCTGCCTTTCCTTCTTTCCTTCCTCCTTTTTTCTTTCTTACCTGCTTTCCTTCCTTCCTTCTCTCTCACTCACTGTTTGCTCACTCCTGCCTTGTTACATCTTCTCAGTGTCTTCTCTATTTTGCTATGCAGATGTTCCTCAAGTCCCATTATGCACCAAATATTGCATATCTGAATTACGCAGCAGTACACTACATATCAACTGCTATTCCCTTGTAACTAAAAGCAGGCAAGTGCTGATAGACTAAACTCACAGTGTTGTTGTGATCATTAACCAAGCAGCGAATGTGTAATTGTGCATCAACTACATGTGGCGCCTTGGTCATTATCACCAACCAAGAGCAGAATAAACTGCCTACCCACTGCATCGTGTATACATGAAACTGATCTGTGAGAGATATGCCTTCATCATATGCATCTTAACATTGCTAGGTTGTTAAATTTAAGACACTGCTTGCTTTCAAGAAAAGGTATGCATTAGTTACCTAATGTGTCAGAATTGCCACCTTATCAGACCTGACTAAAATTGCAGTGCTTCCAAGCATCCACCTCTATTCCTAGCATTTCTAATTTAGCTTCTGTGCCTCAAATATCCTGCTTCTCCTCAAATCTCTGACGAATGGAATTCCAGTCAGACAGGGACATTTCCACGTATAGGTGGTGTATGTGAAACTCTCTGGTTTGGATATCCTTAATCCTGGTGATCGATTTCTGCATGTGTTAGACATCTGATTGACTGAAAAAAATGGAATCCATTCCATTTTCATTTCAACAGCAGCTCCGCAACACTTGGTAAACAACACAGGAATTGTGACCGGTTTGTCAACTTTGTAACGTGGTGGAAACAAACTAATAGGCACATCTTTTCACATTTGTTGAAATGCACAGTTGTTCAGAAGTATTGAGGTTATTCCAGTGTGAGTCAATCCCATTTTCAATCCTATAATTTAATCCTCATTACCTTGCTCAAATCTGTCAGATTGAACCAAAATTAACTGTTTGCTAATGGAGATTAAATTGCTTTTTGTGTAATATATATTGGCAGTTTGACATAAGACAGATCATTCACACAGCAACATTTTTTTAATGTAAAACTTTTATGTTAGATTGAGATGCAGAAGTGATGAAATGCATCAAGATAGAACTTGCATGACGTTTTCAGTGTAATTTTTTTCTGATTGTGATCTTAATGTAAAAGCTTCTCTTTTGTTGAAAACAAAAATGAGGATTTCGATAAATTGTGTGATGCATGGCAACACAGCGTTAAGTATGCAGAGCAGCACTCACAACAAAAGTCTGTTGATGTTCACCTTTGAAATAAAAGACAAATAGAATTATGAATGTTTTGTTAAACAATAATCCTTGCGCAGTTTTACCTTGAGGATAAGTGGCCAAGAAACGAGGTAACTTCCTTCTCTTTTCGAATTAGAAACATAGAAACAGGGGTAAGCTATTGAGCCCCTCGAGCCTGTCCTGCCATTCTCTCACCTCATGGCTGATCCTCAAGTCCAGTTACCTGCCCTTGGCCCTATATCCCTTAATATCCTGATTAATTGTGCCAGTCCGATCTGTAACATCCACTTGAACAGGCAGACGGGACTTCATTTTGCATCTCATCTGAAAGACCACACCTCCTGTAATGCAGCACACCCCCGACATTGAATTGGAGAATCAGCCCTAGTCAATCAGCTCAAATTCCTGAAGTCAAATTGAATGGTACACTTTATGACACATGTAGTTTATCTCAAGAATTGGGACTAATGACACCCACATGGCCTCATTTATTGGAAATGGAAACCCAGAACAGCTGAATCTGGGCTGAATGAGTCTGCACGTAATCTATGCAGAGCTCATGCATGTACTGTTTTTCTGTGTATTACAATCAGACATTTCTAACTCAATTGCTTGTAGGTTGCAGGAAGTGGGCAAAGTATTTTAAAATATTTAAAAAGAGCAATTGATATAAATCGGGCAGACAGGGACTCTGATATTGAGATTTCCCTCGCACATGAATACAGCAGTCAATTTGCGCACAGCAATGTCCCACAAACAGCATTGGAGTGTCACCCCTTTGACTATATGATTCCAAGTCCAGATGTGTTGCCTGAACCCACAACCTCTACAATGCAGTGCTGTGGATGTGCTGCATAGCCAGAGGTGCCATCCTTCAGATGGGTCGTTAAACCAAGGTCCCATTGCACGCTATGGCACTATTCAAAAACATAGTCACTCCATTTCACAGTAAAGCACTTTGAGATGTCTTGTCGAGTTGATAAGGCGCTAAACCAAATGCAAGGATTATTATTGGATTGCATACAGATCTCTGTTATTAAATGTTAAGGGAGAAAGAGAGACTGAATGTATACAATCCTGAATTTGCAAAGATACCTCTCAGAAGAAAAACAACTCGCACTTATATAGCGCCCTTCACATAGGATAATGTCTCGGAATGCCTCACAGTGGTGAGCTAGGACTTCTAGCAGGAAGGTGGGGTGGGGGGATAAGTGACCAAAAGCATGGTCAAAGAGTAATAATAATAATAATAATAATAATCCTTGCATTTGATATAGCGCTTTTCACGTCGGGAGGACGTCCCAGGTTTTCAGGTGAGATTTAAAGATAGAAAAAGAGTGGGTGAGTTGAATGCATTGAGGCAGGGAGTTCCAGAGATTAGCGCTGTAGTGACTGAAGGTTCAGGGACGTGCAGCAGGCTTGCGTTAGCTGAGCAAAGGGAATAGGCTAATAAGGAGTGTGCTATGGGCAGGTCAGAGGAGTTGATATGATACGGAGCCAGTGGTGCCTGGCAAGGATTGGGCTGATAGGAATGCAGAGTTTGGTTAAAGGATCTGAATCATTGATGGTTGAAATGTAGGACAGATATATTGTTAGTACGGACTGCGGTTCCTGACTGTAATAGTACTAATGGTTTTGAGATTGATAATCTGATGTGAACGTTGCGTAAGTCCATCTGTTACCTGCTCTGTTCTCTGAGTTATAATAATCCCTGGCCTTTCGTGTTGCGAGGGCATCTCAAAGCGCTTCACAAGATTTACTGTAAAGTGTAGTGATTGTGTAATTTGTAATGATCTCCTGTGTACAACCAATAAATGAGCGCACTTTCAATATGAATCATCAAATTTGGGAAGAAACGTTTCTCATTATGTGTTTATTTTTCTTCTTTCTTTTACAGCCCTAAGCAGTCACTTCGAGTCGTTATCTCAGGTGCTATAACAAGGGTAAGTTTGTTTATTTCAGCTTCTGTCTGAAGATGAAGATCTCTTCATTTTATATTGGTTCTGGCAGGGTTGCTTTCTGCATTTTGGTTTCAAATTTTATTTATTTTCTAGGTTACGTAGTTCAAGTTTTCTGAAGGACAGGAAAGCTTGTTCTATCATAGAATTGTACAGCACAGAAGGAGGCCATTTGGCCCATCGTGTCTGTGCCAGCTCTATTAAAAGAGCTATCCAAATCAATCCCACTCCCCCGCGCTCTCCCCATAGCTCTGTCCTCCCCAAATAATTATCTACTTCTCTAAATCTCTAATCATTGGTAACAGAATGGAGGAGGGGACACATATAAATAAGAGTACTCCATTATCGGCAATAGTTGGTTTATAAAATTCCAACTTGCCTTACAACAAGGCACAATCTAAAACAGTGCCCTGTCAGCACACTGTTTGTGTACTGCGCAGGAAGTCAACCCGCTTCTGGGTTGTGGGGTGAATGCCGACGTCACATCCTGAACGAGAATTTTTTGCACGTTTAAAAAAAAAAAAAAAATGGCCAATTTCTAGGTAATCAGGTCATCACGATTGTCACTTTCTATGTTGGTCTGTGTGTCAAAACCAATCACAGACCATCCACTTGATAAGCAAATGAGCATTATAAATGGGCCCCCTAATAATGAGGTTCTATTGAGTTAAGACCCACTGTAATGCAGTCGCTGGGGCCCATAATATCCCAACCCATCTTGTAACAGGTCACTTTGGTGACCGGAAATTAGCCATTTCTTAGTGGTGCTGGAAGCTGCCCCGCGGATCCACCCACGTTATAGTGGACATCTGCGTTATAATGGAGTGGGTTGTAATGAGGTTCTACTGTATCATCCGTGTGTACTGAATCAGCAGCTTTAGAAAAAAATGAATTCCTCATATGAGATGTTTTGGTATTTTAAAAAGAGGAATTTGGGGAATAAATCCTCTTCAGGAAAATGACTGCACATGTACACGGGCACAAGTTTTTTTAAATCTATGTAAGAGTTTAGGATTTGCAATTTTATCTTCCATTTAGAGAGAGTTACTGACCCGTGTGTACTGTTATTGCCTGTACTGTTGCACAGTGCTGTAGGGCGTAAGGATGGACAGATCGTTAGGTGTTTAATCAGGTTCTACCTTTTCCAATACTGTGTACTACTGATTATTGCCACTAGAGGTTGTCCATGAAGCACAGAAGTAAAGAAACTCTTTTCTAAATGAACAGTTTTTTGTAGTGATGTCACACACACGTCTGTGTAGAACTGATGGTGTTAACTCCTGCTTTTAGTGCATTGTAATACAAAGTAATTCTGTGCATTTCTTTACAATAAATACCAGTTTGGTTCGGTTAGTTTACTAAGGTTGTGGGTTCAAGCTTCCCCCATATAGGAACCATAGTCTAGGCCAGTGGTGGGCAATCTGTGGGCCATCAAGAAGTGCACAAATTTAAGTAAGTCTGTGTTTGATTTATGGCATAAATCAAGAAATATTCCTGGTCTAGGCCCTAGACTAGGGAAACACCAGTACAGTCCTGGGCAAAGTGCTTTATTGTCAGAAGCGCTGTCCTTTACATGAAGCGTTAAAGCAATGTCCTGGATTTTCTACTGGTGTCCTGACCAACAATCCTCCTAATTAATTAGTCACTCACCCCAGGGTTGTTCCTGGAATCTTGCAGGTACAAATGGCTGCTTAGAATTTGCCTAAGAAAATAGTTACTTAACATAAATTAATTATGTAGTATTTCAGAGATTCAACATAAAACTACAAATGCACACAATTGCCCTGTATTTTCCATCCAAAACACACTTCAAAATGTAAATTCCCTCTTAAGTAAGGCACTTTTCAACTCTGTGCGCCGTCAGAATTTAGGTTTCTGCAAAATTGGTTGTTTGTAAATTATTGGAAGTTCTTGGAATAATTATTGCACCATCTACAGGGTGATAAGGACTTCCCTCCAGCTGCAGCCCAGGTCGCCCACCAGAAGCCTCAACCAGGAGTGGAGAAGCTGCCTCCTGCACATTGCATTAATCAGACCATCCATCAGCCTCGCAAGTGAAGTGAACCTCCTGTTCACACTACCGACCGACAAAAATTCTGGGATGAAGTATTAAACCAATTATGTTGGATTCAAATGTACCAGACAGGCACAAGAGTTTTTAAAAACTCACCTATGGCTTTAAATTTTGTAATCCTTGTTCAGATAAGTTTGGCGAATTATGACTTTGTGAACATTTTTTAATTAAAGCTTGGACACTTTTTTAGAAAACAAATTCAGAAATATTGAAGACATTCTGTCTGCGTGTTACCCAACTCGCATTATACCCAATGTTGACAATATTGTCAGGCACAAATGTGCTTAGTACTGTGTTATACATTGTACTGTTTTAATCATTCTCGTGTGGGAGAATATCAGTGTAAAATAAAGAAAATCTTGTTCCAGACTGACGGTTGTATTTCAAAATTGTTTCATTTTGTTCCACCGCAATTTATTTAAGAATCTGTCGTGGCCACATGTGTAATCTAAAATATTTTAGACTTCTAGGGCTGACCAGTCACCCATCTGTGCCCTTATCTTATTTGTAGATCCAGTTAGCGTACCACAAGGCTGGCTGGAAGACCTCTTTAGCTGGATTAAAGCTCTGGCTTGCTTGGATCATTGATTCAAATCCCAAAGCTGCCAGCTGGTGTACTGATTCATGTGAACACTAGTGCAGCTCCCAAAAGAAAAAAAATGCAATCTTTGGTGTGTGTGTGTGCACACGATTTGCACAAGGAACAAACCTGTTAGGACCCTCTCCCAACCTCTGTCTTTAAACATTTGACAGCATGAACCACATGACCAGTTTATTGGAAGTTTCTAATCATGGGATATAATTGACAACCAATCAGGTCAAGTGCATTTCCTGCAGCGTAATGGTTAGAGCACTCGCCTTACAAGCGAGAGGACCTGAATGTGTTTCATAGGTGAGGCAAAACCTTAGGCAAGTTTTCTAACTTCAGACGCCTCTGTTTACATAGCAGTAGGTAGGGACCCGGTTGTTAGAAGATTGGTGGATCGTTTTCCGGGTGTAATAATTCCTTCAAATAAATAAATGAAATGGTCACTCGGTCCACAACTTTGGGACACTGACACTGGGGTATTGCCGGAGTCTTAAACTAGCTAAAACCACATAGCTTGCCATTGATATCCCACAATTTATCCAGATACGACCCATAAGGGCTTTGGTTTGTAGGGTTAAATGGAGTTCGGTGGTGTGATTCCCTAATGCTAGTGACTTGTCTGCCCCCTTCCAGGTCCTGTATTGTCACAGCAGTGCCCTGGAGCACTGAGGACCTTCCTGGCTCAAGATCTGGACTAACAAGACCACCAGAGAGGGCTGGTTCAATTCCGATATTCCGTTACCAAACATGTCGCTCTGGGGCCAAGTAATGGAAGGGTAAAAGTGGTGATATTAAGAGTTTCAAAACATAGATATGCACTGGTTAAACAACAACAACAAAATTACGTTTGTATGGCGCCTTTCACAATGGGAGGACGTCCCAAGGTGCTGGACAGTCAGTGTTTCGGACCCCATCTGGGGGTAGTGATTGGGGAGGGTATAGGGCAGGGGGGAAAAGCAGGGTGATCCTTCTTCAAACCTTTGATTCCAGTAGGAGAGTAACAGAATTGCGTGGTGAATTTCAGGCTTCAGACTATCAGTCCATTTAGCCCGCCCAACCAATTGCCCACAAGATTCCTTCAATAAATTCCTATCAAAACAAAAACATACATTCACACCACTTTACAGTGAACAGCTTTGAGACGTCTCGAAGACATGATAAGGCGCTATATCAAATGCAAGGATTATTATGAATGTGGCAACACTGAATTTTTAAAAAAATTAAACTTGAGGTTTTTTTGTTCATTGCTTCACTTTCTGCCACACTTCTGTGGTAAAGCTCGACTGTGTCCCACACCTATGAATTTGTCTGTCAGTTTGCAATCTACAAACTGGTTTATCCCAGATGAAGAACTGAAGTCGTCACACTTCTAAAACAAATTGTAGGAACAAGGCAAAAGAGAGATAAAAGTGATAGTTTTAAGTTTGTGTAAAAAAAAGTTAGAATAGTGAAAAACAACAAATTGCATTCATATGGTACCCTCATATCCTTAAAAAACCCTCCCTGGACCCATATCTACTCTCAAACTACCGCCCCATCACCTATCTCCCTTTCCTCGCCACGTCCTAGAATGAGCTGTTGCTTTCTAGTTTTGCTCCTTCATCTCCCTTCACGAACCCCTCCAGTCGGGTTTCCGTGCCGCCCACAGCACAGAAACAGCCCTGGTCAAAGTGACAAATGACATTCTGTCCCTCTGCGACCAGGGCTCCCTCTGCCTTCTCGTCTTCCTTGACCTTTCTGCTGCCTTTGACATCGTCGACCACTCTATCCTCATCCACCGCCTCTTCTCTCACCTCAACCTTCATGGCTCTGTCCTTCACGGATTCAGATCATAGCTCTCACACCATCTCTACTACATCTCCACAAACGCTTTCTCCTCTAGCCCTCACACCGTCCCGTGCGGCGTTCCTCAGGGCTCTGTCCTTGGTCCCCTCATCTTCAATACCTATATGCTCCCTCCTGGTGACATCAAATGCAGACATGGGGTCAACTTCCACATGTATGCGGATGACACCCAACAGTACCTTTCTGCCTCCACCCTCGAGTCCAGGACCACAGCTGTCCTGACAGACTATCTGTCAGACATCAAGTCCTGGATGAGAGCTAACTTTCTTCAGTTGCATGTCAACAAGACCGAGGCTCTCCTGATTGGCTCCCGTCAGCACCGATAACATCACCATCAATGGCTGCAAACTCCACCTTACTAAGCCAGTCTGGAACCTTAGCATCTTGTTTGACCCTCAACTATCCTTTCTACCCCACATCCGGGCCATGACCCGCTCTGCCTTCCCCCACACCTCCGACCATCGCCCAGCTCTGCCACTGTCACACCGCAGGCCGCCGAAACACTCATACTTTCATTACATCGAGGCTTCACTATGCAAACTCCTTGCTTGTCATCCTCCCTAACTCCTTCCTCCATAGGCTGCGGATCATCCAGAACTCTGCAGCCCATGTCCTCTCCCGCAATCCCGACTCCCAGCTCGGGTCCGAAACACTGTCTCTCCAACGCCTTGGGACGTCCTCCCGACATGAATGGCTCTATAGATATTCAATTTTGTAGTTATTGCTGACACAGAATAATGTCTCAGTAAAACTCAAAAGTAAATTAATAGGAAAAAGGGGAAAATACAATCAAAACAGTTTTGAATGGATGAGCATGGATGATGTTCAAAACATTCTTTATTCAATTTCTCTTATTTAAAAGAAGATTGGGATTTGGAATGACAGTGACAAAGTCTCCCTAATGGTTGAGTTACCATTGTTTCTCAATTAAGTTTTTTTTCACAGTGAATGACCAAAAAATGTGCAGAAACAGTTGGCCACATACATAAGAATTGATCTAGACATACTGATGACTTTAGGATCAAGGAATGAACTGCATCTCTGAATGAACAGGTGGGGACTTGCAGAGCACCTGAAGAATATGATTTTTGCAAAGGCGAATGTTGCTACAATATTTGGCTTAGATTAGAGAGACTGAAATATCTTAATGACTGGCAACATGAAAATCAGTTGCAAGCTAAACATTCAAAAAGGCTATTCAACAACAAGAACAACTTGCATTTGTATCGCATCCTTCATGCATATAGTGTCATGGAGGCTTAAAACAGGAGAGAATGCGGCTTTTTGTATTGCAAACAAGTGTGGCTTATTTTCCCATAACCTCCAGTTCGTAGCATTCTCACCTCTGAATCAAAAGCTTGTGAGATCAAGTGTCTTACCACGACTCGAACTCACATAGTCTAAGATAATACTCCAGTGCAGTGGTGCAAGTGTGTTGCATTCTTGGATGAGACATTCAGTTGAGATCCAATCTGCCTGTTTGGCACAACTTGAAAAAGGGAAGGGAGTTTCTCCCAGTGTCCTGAACAAATAAAACCAGACATTTGTTTTATGGTTGTTTGTGGGACATTAGTATGCACAATTGCAACACTGAACAAGATAGGTTACAGGAGGATTCGAACATACTTGGGAATTGGGCAGATCAATGTCAGATGAAATTCAATGTGGAAAAATGTAAACTACTTCACATGGGCCCAAAACTATCCAGGAAGGGACTACTATTTGAATTGGAAGGAAAATAATATGTATGTTTGTTTACTTACCAAAGTACCAATCCTTTAGTCTTCTAAGCCCAATATCAAGCAGTTTCCTAAAGATGTCCTAATCATCTGGAATCTGAGTTCTCATGGCTGTCTGTAGGGAGGGTGTGGGTCACATCACCAAAAAAAAGGTTTATTTTATTATATACATCCATCTTCTACTGTCCCAAGTCCCCAGCTTTATACTGGCACTCAATTATCCCTAAGGGCTGGTGGCCAATTGTTAGCTCCCTTAAACATAGGTTGATCATCAATAACCATAAAAGGCAGTGACAGGGTTTATCTTCCTATCACACTGTCATTTATTGGGCTATTTTCATACGAATAATCTTCTATTGTGGTTTCATGAGTTTTCCATTTATTAAGATCAGATCAATGTGTCTATAGTTGAAAAATGTACCTTTTTCAATTCTCTTGGAATAAAACATCTACATTTAGTTGTTTCCAGTCTATTGGTTGAAATTCAGGTGGACAAATATTAAAATAATTAATGTCATTTAGTTTTTGTTTTCCTGCCAGATCAGTTGCATTCATATCATCCGTAGAAACATCTAGCAAGTGATAATTGGTGCAGCCAATCACAGCCTGACATGCTCAAACCCATTCGCAACAACAACTTGCATTTATGTAACACCCTTCACGCGGGATAGTATCTTGGAGCGTTTTGGAGACACTTTTGCATAGTTATCGCCCAATTGAGGAAAGAGGGGAGATCACTGTAGATATGGTCGACAAGAAAGACTTTAAGGTAATTAGGGAACTCAACAATGTCAACAATTTGAAAGAACTGTTTTTGATGAGATGAGCTGACTTTGACTGTAAAGCAGGTAAACTCATCTCGACTCAAAGCAAATTTTCTTAAAAATGGCTTGCACAAGCACTCTTGTCAGCTATACATCAGCGTTGATCTTAACACATTGTAAATTAATGGAATTTACAGAATAAACTAACGCTCGTCTTTACATCATCTGTTAATGAGAGCCAATTAAGATTTTTACTGTGGAATTTTTAACACAAAAAAAGGAGCAATTTCCTTAGACAGCGCTTGACTTGAAATTCTTCTGTTTTCTTGACTAGGGAGGAGTATGTACCATGCTGAAAAATGTGCAAATGCCCTGCTTTTCCCAAGACTGAGATACATCACTTTTATGAGCAGTTACTCACAAAAACTACAA